TTGAAAAGGAATTTTTATATCATCAGCATCATAAACCCTTGTCCCCAATTTCTTAGTTATCATATGGGGACCAAAGCGTTCCTTGCGATTAGGGGGCTCAAAAGTACAATCCCTTTGATAGTGTCCCACCCGCCCGCAGTGAAAGCAGAATGAGGGTAGGTGCTTGTATTTCAGCCGCACCCAAAAGCATCCCGTTTCCTCACTGGCAGCCATTATTTGTGATCGCAGTGGTTGAGAAAAATCAATCATCGCTTTTACTTTTATGAAATATTGCTTGTTTCCTGGCAGGAGTAGACACCCGCCTCGAGCACTTGGCCGATCTTGGGTCCTGCCAACTTCATACCGAATTTCGCAGTACAGCAATCATCTTTGACTTCCCAAAGTTGCACCCGAAAGGGGGCAATCGCCAGTTCCTCATATGTATGTTTTGTTACAGAAGGAGTCCATGGCCGGAGGTGAATGATCCTGTCATTTACGACCCAAGAGTTTCGTTTTAGTACCCAGATTTTGGACTCCTCATTGGGTAAAACAAATTCAAAGAGGCCATGGTTGGCTTGCAGCACCTTTATCCTCCCTTTGCATTGCCACGGGGAATTAACTGCATCCCGTAACTCCACCGGCAAGACCCGAGCCGTGGTGAAGACTCGTCCAAGCAGAGTGTGTGAACTGCGCATCTTGACAGATTGGACCTCGTTCAGAGAGAATTGCACAATCTGGTCCTCGTGCACATGAGTAGCCATTGCGTTCTGCATACAGGGGGGAGAATCAGAGACATCAATGACAACCGAATCAACCAAACTAATCACAATGGAGGGATTCTCCTGCCGCAAGTTAACAGTAGAAGTGGGGGCAGAGCTTTCCCCTTTGTTCATCTTATACAAGCTAAACAAATCAGGATCGGTTTTGGAATTACCTGGGGAACAGAGGCAACCTGTGTAGTTGGGTTGCTCACCACCGACCTCGCTATTCCCCACCTTACTGTGTTGCTTGCAATCACCTGTTGGTTTAGAATGCAACGCTCAGTTCGGTATAAATAGGGACAGTCAGGCAAGTGTTTGTTTCCAACCAGGATACCTCCTCCCCTGAATGTGAAGCTGTAACCGATTCGAGATAGGGGATAAGGGATTAGGATCCCCGATTCTCTACCCCCTTCCGCAAATTTCTGGTTAATTAGTTTGTTGGGATTAATTCTATCCCTTCGGGGAAATCGGGCGGAAATCCCCCCCTTGCATATCGAAAAATCCGGTATTCGGATTCCCGTCCGATCCCCACCTACGTCTCGCCAGGGTGTTTCCCGCCGGTTTAGGGAGTATCGTTGTGGGTTCCCCGGTCGATTCATACCCACCGTCCTATCAAGCCAATCCTTCAGGGATGTGTCAGGGATTGGAGATTTTGTCTCCTTCCTCTCTTTTGTCCTGTGGATTTGGCATTTCCGATCCATCTCCAGTGGAGCAAATGAATTAGGGAGGTTTTCCACCGATTCCCCCACTGCTTTTCCACCGGGACTCTGTTGAACATGTTTCTGTCGACACGAGGGGGCAATACCAACCTCTATTGCATCCATCTCATCCGACAAAGGGAGAGTAAAACACCACGTTTTCATACGCAGATCCCTCCTATTCTTCTTGATTACAGAGTAGTTTATATCACACTCCAAACCTGAATTCCAAAATTTTCTCTTTTTCCCTTTGGGCAACAATCGGGAATCAGATCGCCGATTGGAAGACCAGATCCAATACCCATCCTCTTTCCGATTGGGATGCGAGTCTGCTCGGCTTTCTTGGGTCGCCCTGGTCCAAGTCAGGCCTTGCGCATTCCATCCATGCTTCTGATTTCGCATGCTGGCAAGCAGAGCTTTCTTGATCGCTTCGATGAACAGGCGATCGGCGAGGAAGCACGCGCAGAGGAGAGAGGCGAGAGCACCTCTCCACAATTTTTTTTTAAGTGAAACTCCGGTTGAGACGTTTTATATACAAATAAGATAGTAATTAAAAATTTAATGACTGAAATAAAATTTATCTTACATATATCTATTAAAAACTTATTTTCCACAAAATAAATCTATATAACCTCCATAACTCACCCACAATCTCTCTTTCTTCTTCGTGTCTCTTCCTGTAAATTTTTTGCCTAAAAAATGTAAAATGTAACTCAAAGCAGTGATCAGTTGATCACCATTTGATAAAAATGTAATCCATGACAGAACCGGCCCACCCTCCAAATATAATATGACCCATGGGCTTCCACAATCGTGACTGCAAAATAGACCCGGCTCGTCAACGTCGCCCACCTACAACTTTTTCTAGGTTTCAGCTTCGGGATCTGTAATCTGTAATCTCCTGTTTGTCTCCTCAGAAAACGAGAGAGAAGAGAAAGATTGTCAGAATCAGCGTAGAGAGAAGCTAGAAACGCGAGATCGAAGATGTATGGATTCTCGGCAATTCGGAGCAAGGATCTAGGGAAAGAGCCGGATCTCGAGGCCGGCAACGGCGAGACTCTGTATCCAGGTCTAGGTCTCGGCGAGAACCAGCTCCGATGGGGTTTGATCCAGAAGGTTTACGGCATCCTCGCCGCTCAGCTGGTCATCACCACCATCGTCTCCTCCGTCACCGTCCTCTACGCTCCCGTCAATGAGCTCCTTAGGGGAAGCCCCGGTCTCCTCTTGTTCCTTTGCGTCGTCCCCTTCATCCGTACGTCTTTCCCTCTCGATTTCCCCCCTCTCCTCTATCCGTTAATGTTTTCGGGATTTGGCTATAATTGGTCTGTAGTTACGAATCTGATTTCAATTTGAGGTGAAACAGGGTTGATTTCTGCCAGATGTGGATATAAATCGTATGATACGTCGGAAAATTTTGAGCAATTAGGGTTTTTTTTTCCACTCTTAGTGGTTGGGAATTGCATTTGCATTTTCATTGAACGATTTTGTGTGGAAATTGTGTTTTTTCCCCTGATGATTACGGAGAACAGAATCATTTTGGTCGCCTGAGCTATGGCTGCCGTAGATGTCTGAGTTTTCCAATCAGCATATCTGCTTCCATTATTTCGTAGCTACTGTTCTTCCATTTACATGATGGCTGGCTTCTTGCAGTGATGTGGCCTCTTCACATCTACCACCAGAAGCACCCAGTCAACCTGATCGTGCTTGGCCTCTTCACCATTTCTCTCAGTTTCCTGGTTGGCGCAAGCTGTGCTAACACAGATGGTGAGCTTCTTCGATTGTGATTCAGATGATTGCAATCTGGCCCTTTCCAAAATGAAGCCCGATTGTGTAATTCGGGGCTCGTTTTTAAACAGGGAAAATCGTGCTGGAAGCATTGATCCTGACCTCAGCCGTGGTCTGCTCTCTGACTGCCTACACCTTCTGGGCCGCCAAGAGAGGCATGGACTTCAGCTTCATGAGACCCATTTTGTTCACCAGCCTCATGATCCTCGTACTCACAAGCTTCATCCAGGTCTGTCGTTGTTCGTTGGTGTCTTCTCTTGATCTCCCCATCCATACTTAAAAAGATGGGATTGCGTTGGTTCATCTTATCTTACCAATTGGTATGTTGGTGCCATTCTGTTGCAGGTGTTCTGCCCACTTGGTTCGACCTCCACTGCAGTCATTGGCGGGATCAGTGCACTGGTATTCTCGGGATACATCGTCTACGACACCGACAACTTGATCAAGCGATACACTTACGACCAGTACATCCTGGCCTCCGTCGCTCTCTACCTTGACATCCTCAATCTGTTCCTCACCATCCTGCGCGTGCTCAGGCAGGGAGACAACTAAGTAGAAGCTTGTACATAAAAGAGCACCATTCTCTTTCTCTATTCGAAACTTTTTGAGCAAATGTCCACTTCTTATCGATCCTCCTCTCTTGTAATTGTCGCTATAACATACTCTTTCTCGTCGGTGCTGCTTTGTGATTTCCTCGGATTTACAGTGTTAAAAGTAAATTCCCCCATTCCGTCTTGTCAAACAGCTGTAGATGAATTGTTATTACCTTTCGAATCCTGTGTTGCTCAATAAATAGCCCGAATCCTATGTGATTTATCTGGAAATCTTTCTATGCTAGTTTGTCTATACAGATAGCTGTAATCAATTAACAAAGTGGCCTAGACTACTTGGCACGAACGCCGATGAGGCAGCTCCGTCAATTGGTGCTTTGGAATCTTGGATGGGCGGGAAGAACGAAAAGGAGAATCACCACGGCGGATTGTGGTGGAGTCGGGATTAACGAGCTGGCACTCGTCGATCCACTCGGAGAAGAGGTCGATGGGTTCGGTGAGACGATTCATCCTGGCGGTGTAAGACGCATCGCAGCGAAAGCAGCGCAGCGTGGCGATCCCGACCTCTTTGTCTAGGTGGGAATCGACACAGTCGACGAAGCCGCAGAAGGGGCAGCTGAAAACTTTCTCCAGCTTCTCAGCGTGCTTGGGCTTCTTAGCGGTCAGCTTCTTGGTCGCCGATGACTTGCGCTTCCCCATGACGGCGGTGATGGTCCCGGTCGATCTGCAGAAAGTAGAAACCTTGCGCCGCTGGCTTCTGTCTTTCTTTCCTTTTCTTCTCTCTCGCGCTGTGGAGATTATGTGAGTGGAGGGAGTGGTTAGCCAACTGGTGGTCTGTGTATATATAAGCAGTGAAAAAAGGAGGTTTTATATATCCTTAGCCGACTAGGATTAGGAAATAGGAATCCTGTTACTCCTAGGAAACGGTATATGTGTTAGGGGTAGGGGTGGTAATCGGTCGGTTACCGGTTAACTGGTTACCGACTTACCGGTTATCGTATACCGTTTTCCTCCAAATCACTGCCGAATACCGTACCAGAATTAAACCGGTTAACCGGCTAATCGAACAATCGGTTATCGATTAGAAATTCGGTTAGCCGGTTATATATTATTAAATCTACCTTTTGGGTTTCCTTTGCTTCTTCTTTCCAATTCCAAAACAGAACCCCATCCCCATAAAAAAAATAGCACCCCCATCTTTGCATCACAAACGATTCCTCTTCTTCTCACGATTCCTCTTCTTCTCCTTCGCTCAAAACTCCATGTCTCCGTCTAAGCTGCGAACCCCACTTCTCCGTTCGACCTTTTCCGTTCTTGTTGGCGACAGTGATAGAGATTGGGCGACGATGACGATGGCCAATCAAATCTCGATGGTGGCTCGACTGTCCTCGATTTGATGGCTGATGTTGGCGATTGGGACGGCGATGGTGCCCAGGAAGCCGATGGCGACGACGACTCAGATGACCATAGGAAGATGATGCTGGGAGATGCCTCTGAAGACAGATGCGGCGATTGGTGAATGGAGATGTAGCGATGGTGTCGTAGAGCAGAGGAGGAGTGGAGAAAGGCGATGCATGTAATCTTGTAGATGAAGACAACATTTCCGGTCGTCGTCCTTCTCCTCTCCCTCGCCGGCCGCAGCCGTCGGAGCAGATCCAGGCTTCTTCTTGCCTACGCCCTTCTCTCCTTCACTTTTAGATCTGAATCCATAACCACCACATATCTGCGGCAAGACACATGGATGTGGGAGAAGAAGGGTTACATGGTTGGAGGGTTTGCAAGAACAGAGGTGAAAGTAATTGGTTGGCGGCGGAAGTGAGGGGAGGGTGAGAAGAATAGTGAGGGGAGGGTGAAAAGAAGCAGGGGAAGGGAGGGTTGAAAATGGGACAGGCGGAGAGGGTGAGAGTCAAGGAAGAAGATGAAGAGAAGCAGGGGAGGGGAGGGTTGAAAATGGGGCAGGTGGTGGTATTGCCGGGTAGCTGTCGGTATCCGGTTAACACAACGGTTATCGCCACCGGTTACCGGTATACCGAAACAAGCAATAAAACCCCCGAATACCGTCTGAAACTGTTGTAACCGATTAACGGTATACCGATAACCAGCGGTAATTGGTACGGTTACCGGTTATACCGTTAACCGGGAAACCGTTTACACCCCCAGTTAGGGGTGGGCATGTGGGTGGTTAATTCGCGGATTGATATCGATCCACTCGCAAATAACCCGACCCGTACACGGTGGGTGATTGATGTGGGCGGATTGTAGATTGTTAAATCTCCACCCGCACTTATGTGGGTGGATGGTGGGTGGATTGCCGGTCATACGTATGACCCGCGTCCTATTTTTACATGGAAAAATATTGTTTCTTATAGTATCAAATATTCATCATATTTTTGAACTGTATTGCAGTCTGACCATATACTTCAAAAGGTGGAGAATAAAGAATCGTTTTGACTACTATTATTGGTTATTGTGTTGTGCAAGATATTGGGTATTGGTATGCAAATTATTGTTAATATTCATTAAATATTGAGATACAAAGTATAAATTATTAATTGTATCAAAATTACAAATTATTGATACAATCTTACTAATTTGCTATGAATTTATCATAAATGTTAGTCAATTTTCTTAACGGCTAGTTGGAGAATTGCTTTTGCGGGTTAACCCGCGACCCAACCGCACCCATCCGCCACCCACCCAACCCAACCCGCATAAGTATGTAGATGCATTGCGAGTCACATGTATTCCAACCCGCTAGTAAGCGGGTGGGTCAATTTTAGACCAAAATCCACCCAACCCACCCATTGCCCACCCCTAATTTGTGTGTAGTTGTGTACCTATTTCCTCTTCTTGAAAGAAATTGGGTTCTCTTTTCTCTTCTTCATTTCTTCTTGCTCAGTAACTAATAATTATACTTTCCCGCTGGGGACAAAAAAAAAAAAAAATCGTCGGCCGACAAATAAATTTGTCCGATCAACTTTTTTTTTTGGTAGAATCACGGAACGCTTAAAGGGCGTCCCAAACTTTATACTGGAATGAAACGGGGTGTTTGAACCCCAATACAGTCATGATACAGCCAAGACGCTAAGGTACTGTCAGGTGCTGTAACTCGATGTAGACCAACCGGCAATGCATGACCCGAATTAGCTAGGTGGTCAGCAATCACGTTCGCCTCTCTGAAAACATGGTGGATTTGAACCTGCCAATCTCGACTTAGCCAACATCTGATCTCAGCCACAGAGGTGTAGTGTGAGTGGTGTTGAGTCGCTGTCTCTATGAGCGACAGAGCCGCGGATGAGTCTGTCTGTAGAACGACCTTCCTAATTCCTGCCTCCCAAGTAAGTTGTAACCCGTGCACAATCCCTGCCAGCTCGGTGCTTGTAATGGAACCCCCCCCCCCCTCCCCCCCAAGGTTCATGGAGAACGCAGTGATGAGACGCCTATCGTCCCTCCTAACGGCGCCCCGACCGCCGTGCTTGATGGTGCGAGTATCACTGATCCATCAGTATTTAGGCATGACCACCCTTGAGGCGGTAGCTGCCATTGGATCATCGCAGGCACTCGGAGTTCCCCAGCTCCGATTACCTCTCGCTCTTTCTCCGCGGCTGTAATAATTTGATGTCGAATCCGCACCGAGCTAGCCTGAATGTGTGCCCAGGAGTCCATGGGAATGGTAAACTGAATTTGTAAAATTGACACACAATTTTGATTGATTGGTGGGTTAAATTGTGCCAAAAATAAGCTCTATATAGTGAATTTTCATTAATATAATTATATGAAAATATAAATATATCGCTACTCCATTTATTGGGAGATGAAAAATGAAAAGTGTTAACATTACATTGTTTGGACAAGATAGAATATTGGGGTCGACAAATCCATTTCCATGGAGGGAGGGTTAGACTTTTACCATCCATAATTAAATTCATATATCACCCTTGATGTTTTTAACTTCAGTAGTTAATGAAATATATTGTTTTTGGTAGGCAGGAGTATTGTGATGTGGAAGAGAGAAAGGAAAGTAATAGAGAGAAAATACTATGATATCTTTTCTCCTTTTTCCTGTTTGTTACCGTTTGTAGATGGAGCCTCTATCGGGAAAAAAATCCAAAAGTACCATTGTTTAAAAAAACAAATTCCAAAAATACCACCCAATCTCAAAAAATTTCAAAAATACCACCTTTTTCAAAAACCGCCACCTCACCCTGCGGTTTACACGAAAACCACTGGGCGGGGGCACGGTTTTCTATGCAAACCGCTGGGATAAGGGGCGGTTTTGGAAACCGAACCAAACCGCTGGGTGGGGCGGCGGTTTTGGACCAAACCGCCACCCCACCCAGCGGTTTGGTCCATTTTTTTTTTCCGATCAACTCCTAAATTCGGCCGAAACTTCAAACGAACGTAAATTTGCACTCGGAGGCGACCGTGTTTGTCCCAAAACCAACAGATTCATTGCCGACAACTACGTCGACACAACCGAGCAAGAAAGCAAAGACAGTAACGAGCAACAGCACCATAGGACATGCGGCTATGGAGGTCGCGATAGTCACTGCAAGTACCGGGTCAGATTCAGTGCTTAAACCTAAAAGTTTTAGCATATGCTTAAAACATTCCTATTGGCTGTTAGGAATTTAGTTAGCTTATGAAATGTTAGAAGTTAGTAGATTGTTAAGGGTAAATAGGGTATCATGAAAAAATAATTAATGTCATTAATAATTAAAAAAATGGTTCTCTCTCCTAAAACTCGGAATTAAAGAAAATCCGGAACTATTTAATTAAATATTATTATATTATATTTAATGAAATTTTATATTTAAATTTAAGTTTAAATTTAATATTTAAAATTTAGAAATGGAAAATCCAAATAAAAAGTCTCACGCCCTCTCTCTGCAGCGTCTTCCATTAGCGTTATTAAAGTTTTTAATGATATTATTAATATTTCTGACATGAATTGTTATTGATATATTTCATCATTAGTAACTATTTCAATATACTTATCAATGTTTTACGATGACATATTAACAATCGTCTGATGATATACAAGATTAACTATTTCAATATATTTATCAATGTTTTACGATTAGATTAGTAATAATATCTTGTGCTGATGATATCAGTGTTAAAATTGGTATTTAAAAAGTTAATAATGGTATTGAAAAGGGTGATAACTTAAGAATAAATGGTTAACAATGGTAACTAAAAGTTTAAAAATAAAAAGTTAATAATTTGAACATAAAAAACTAAAAAAGTTAATAATGGTATTTTAAAGGCTTGTGCTGATATCAATTTTGAAAATGGTATTTAAAAAGTTAATAATGGTTTTAAAAAGGGCGATAACTGAAGAATAAAACGTTAGCTACCGTACATAAGAAGTTAAGAATAAAGGGAGTTAATATTTATCGCCCTAGAATTCAAAAAATTCCGCCCTAAATTTCAACAGTTGACACATATACCCTTATTCACAGCCCAACAAATTACCGCCAGCCAAGCCCGACCAACAGTTCCTTCAATTACCCGCCGCGATTGAGGATTCAGCTCACCGCCGATAGCCAGATGGAAGAAAAAGTCGCTGCCTTTGGCCATTCAGTCGACGCTCTCGACAAATGAACAGCCCACCGCCGCACTCGAGCCCAGCATTCACAAGAAGAAATTACCCAATTCAAATTTGCAGGAGTCACTCTTCAACGGATTCCGAAAAGTTCGCCGGAGGCCGGAGCCATGACATTCATCGATTTCAGACGGATTGAAATCCATCTCGTCCATGGCACAAACAGGTGGGCGTCCCTTCCGTTTCACACGCCGCAAGAAAATCCAACCCTTCCAGCCACACATCCCGACGCGTTTCCTACCCGCCATACGTTCGGCTGTGCCGGATTTGATATCCGTCGGGTGAATGGTGGGGACGGATTTCCAACCCGCCCACATCCAGTTCAAACGTGGTCCTTACCTTCATAGACGACCTTCTTCTACTTCCTCCTCCACCGGTGACGACGAGTTCGACAAAGGGAAGGCAGGGCTGGCGGCAGGTGTTGCTGGGTTTTAGGAGAAGGAGGAGGGCTACCGAGGAAGAAAGACAAGGGAAGGTCAGAAGTTTTGGCTAAAATTGGGACTGGGGGCAAAATCGTCACTACAATACAGTTTAGGGCGGAAATTTTGAAAATCTAGGGCGTTAAATAGAAATTCAGAGAATAAAAGGCTAACAAAGGCCAACACACACAACAGACTCCCGACAATGACCACAAGCACGAGACGACCAGTGAACTCGTCGACAGTGAAGAGCAAGCTACATACTCCAGCAACAAACAAACGGAAGGTCAACCGTCAGAAGGCTGGAGTTGGGAGGGTGGAACAAATAATTGTGAATGAATAGATAGTTTGGAGGGAGGGATAAGCAAACGAGGTAAAAAAACCCCTAAAACATACTCATATTTAGGTAAATTTTTAATTAAATAAAATCTCCTAATTATCCTTAACTTATCAATAAATAATACTAAACATAATCTAATTACTAACTACCTAAAATATATAAGGCAATAGGAGGAGTTTAAGCATATGCTTAAACATATTGGCTTAAGCACAGGAACCCAAGCCCTGCACGAAC